CAATATTGCTTTCCATTGATGAATGAAATGTAACAATTTGGGTGTATTGTGTGAATTTGTGAGCCTGGTTACAAGCTTATGTGTTTAGTACCTACAAACTGCCTAAATGTGTACATTGTATATGCATCATTGTAATTGGAAAAATACGGATATATCTGAATATTTGAATTCAATTATGGAATTAAAATTTTTAAGAATTTTCAATTCAAAATCAAATGCTGCTAAACTGGTATCACATGCTGTTGTTGATGTAAATAATTCTTTTGAAAACAATTGACAGCATCTTAAATTGGACATTAAATAGTAATATTTTCTTTTTTTGCCACTCATCAAAACAAATACCAAGTGAATTTGATGATATTCACAAGTTTTCGTACTTGTTGTATTGTAATTGTAGGAATTTCTGCTTCTTCAGAACAGTATTCGACCTTTCCAATCATTTATCAACTGAATAAAGTACTCAAACAAATAGAACCTTTCAAGTTTGTCCACAAATAGTCTTAACAAATGTAATTTTGGTAGAAATTAATCAACAAAATGGCAGTATTTCATTTAAAGAGTATGTATTGAGTAAATGAGCTTTCTAGTTCTATATAAGCAAGTTTAAACAACCAGCTGATGGTTGCAGAACTAAAATGAACTGCCAAACTGGGGAAATGTATTTCCTTTTATACATTTACCAAAGCTTGGGTTCACTTGGTCCAAAGATTACGAAGTTGAAATGTAACAGTCTTGCAATGCACATATAACAAAGACATGAAAAACTATTGCATCACTTATGGCTAAGATGTGGCACTGCAAAAACAAGCCTGCCTCTTCCGCATCTGTTTTTGAATAAGATGTAACAAGTTTGACATGCATTTTTTCTATATTGTTTGTTCCATCCTCCCTTAATTCCACATCTCTCTTCTAAGTGGCTTACTCCTGATTCAGTTCTATTTGGACCAGTACTTACCTATAACCCCAGCAGGAAAGTACCTTATTATATTTAATAATATTCTTCTTATCATTATAGAAAGGAAATATAAGTTTTTCATTTGAAATCTCAGAAATATGATCACTTTAATGTGGTAGGCCTATTTATGGAAAGGCACAAGCATCAGTTATGTTCAAAAAATTTACCCTGATCATTGAGTAGTGTCACTTTTAACCAGATTTTAACTATAAGGGTTTGCTATGTAAAGAAGGTATTTATCATCTCTCAATGATTTATAATCTAGCTAATAGAAAAGATACTAAAAAGGCAACTTTTATTTAGTTCAAGACTACATACCTTCAGAGTTGGATTGCCTGCATAATGACAAATCTAATATGAGATTAAATAATTTTAATATTTCGAATGCACCCTTAAATGTCTTGATCTATATAAGACAATATCAGGTTGTAAAGCTATTTCATTGGCAATTTTAAAAACTTTTGGAGAATATGATTGTTTTTTAAAATGTACTTGCATACCAAAATATTTTCAAATATTCAATATTCAAAAGTATATTCAATGGTTACAATTAGTAATTATAAATATATATATATAGATATCACAAATATAAAAAACCATTATTGAACTGAATTTTTATTTCTAGATGATTTTAAAAAAGATTTTTGTGGATGTACACATTCAGGCAGTTATTGTAAACCATATGCATATACTTACCTACAAGTATGCACAGTCTATAGAGTAACTCCAAATTGTTACATTCCATTCACCTATGGAAAAGAAATATCAAAATAGTATTTAACAATACTCTGCCTGCCTAGTTAGTGTACAACACACCCTATTTTTATACTATTTAAAGGTAGTTGTAGAATATACTTACAACTAAACTTAAATTCTAGTTTTTATTAATTTGCACATCATATTTAATGATCATTAATTGTATCTTACACTATTTCATATATATTTGAAGTGTGTAATTCATTGTCACTTCAACAATTATTGTAAGCACAATACTATTATAGATGGTCAAGTGAAGTTAACCTTACTCTGCCAATGACTTATACTCAAATATTTTACTTTTGACAAACAATTATTATTAATAATTTGTGGTATTTAAAAACAGCTTTATGATGACCTCTGTCTATTTTTATGTGTTGGAACCAATCCAACATTTACCAAAAATTGTTACATCTTATGCAATTTTCTGACCTATTGACAACAGTTTTCCTTAACAAAGCAAAGTTAACAAATATGGAACCATATTTGAACTTTCCTTTTATCCATAATGATACATTTGTTTTGTGTAGATATTTTTATCTGTGAACTGTCAACTTTTGGAAAAGTATATAAAGCCTATGAATTTATCAGTAGGCAGTTCAGTTTTCTAACAGCTAACTTTGCGTTAAAACTTGCTTGTTTAGAACTAGAAACTCATTTACTCAATAAATACTCTTTGAATGAAATACTGGTGTTTTGTTGGTAAATTTCTTGTAAAGTTTCATTTGTTGAGACAACTTGTGGACGAACTTGAAAGGTTGTATTTGGATCAGTACTTTGGTACATTGGTAAATGATTGGTGAGGATGAATTCAAATTTGATAAGCTCGAGATTCCTACAATTACAATACAACAAAGTACAGTGGAAGTTCAAATTTTATAATATACACTCTGAAATATGTATCATTGGTCTATGGAGAAGATATTTAAATTGTTCTTCTTCTAGTAAATCCACTAACATTGGCATCTGTCTTTCCTTTTTGTTTTGCCATCACTTTCATTTCAATGATTTGTTTTAAATATTTTTTTGGGAGTGAATATGATATTTAGACCCCAAAGAGAAATTATTATTTCTTTGAATGACACTGGCAGGACATTTCATTTTCTTGCTTCTAACTCCACATCTCCAAATTATGAAAGTTTTGTCTTTTCTTTTGATAACAAATGAGTGGCCATTAGATACAAGTAATTCTTTGCCTTTTTGACTTCCTGTAGGGAATATTCCGAATTTACCATTGCTGTCATAGTTCATCTCTGGTATACAAAAAAAAATTAAATTAACTTATTCTATTAAATTTATTAGTACTATATATTTCAAAATTTTGTGGCCGTTTTCTGTCTCAATTGGGGCTGTTTTCTGTCTCAGTTGGGGCCGTTTTCTGTTCAAGTTGGGGCCGTTTTCTGTTGGGGCTGTGTTCTGTTGATCCCCTTAAAAGAGGAACTCTTGTTGCATAACCGTTATCCATTTCTAAATTGCTTGCAAAGTCCAAGTTTAGCATTTCCAGACCTGTTTTAGTAATAACATAACCTCGAATATATTCACGACATAATGGGCATTGAGATTTAGGAAGACTGTTTAAACATTTCTGACAACATACAACGTGACTGCATGGAAAGATAAGAGTATTAGCAAGTTGACTAAAGCACACTTTACATTGAAGATTGTTTCTCACTTCTTCATATAGAAGAAATTCTTTATTTGATGAATTATCTCTGTGATTGTGGTGTGTGATAAAAGAATTTCCAATTATGAAGAAAAATTAATATTAATTATACCCTTTAGACATTCTGAGTTACTGATAAATACACTGAGAGTAGACTATAGGCTATAATATAAAAAAATTATTAAAATAAGTTAACTATTATAAATAAAGATACCAAATGTATAATACTTTCAGATTATACCTAATCTCTTTTTCTGGTGGAATTCATTATAACCTCTTTCCTAACTCTTTCAGACATTCAATGTTTCGTATGGAGTTGATTATTTCTTCAAATTCCATAAATTCAATATGGATTTTACCACCTCATTCCTGGAAAACATGGCAGTTTGTGATCAGATCTCAGTAAGTATTGATAATGTTAATACATTAAAAATTCAATGATTTTTTGTTCTTTGGATTACTTGCAGCTGCTTACACTAAAATAAATTTATGATTGCTTGATAGAATCTAATGAAAGTTTAATAATCTAGTTAGATTTAAGGAAAGTATCAATGATATTAATCAATCAAATGTAAAATTACAATAAAATTTATAAATCATTCCAATTATACTTAACAAATAATGCAGGGTTGTAAAAGATTTATTCAGATTTGAAATTCTAGTGTCTCTATCACCATCTTTCCTGTCTCATCACTTTTTAATTTATATGAATTTACCAAATTTGTCTAGACTCTATGACCTATTTTCAACACATTTTGAAGTATTATAATCATTGATTTCATTGTTAGTAACATCTGCTACTGATTGTAAAAAGAGACATTAAAATAATTATTGTTGTGAATGAGAATAGGTCATTATTCACTTCTATTGAAGGCAATATGCAACCAAGGTAGAAATGTTTCAATACTATTAAACCATGGTTGAAAAAGCATACTTTCTTGGCAAGAATCTCGAAGAATCAAACTTTAACAAAGCTAGTTTAAAAATTTCTGAGAAATTTGGAAAGAGATTAGATAAGGATGTTTCAATAAAGTTGACTTGCTGAGATCTGGTCATTTATTCAGCTGAGAAACTGCTATATTCAGTTTTCTGGGAAAAAACTGCCATTATATGACTCAAAAGACAATCTGAAGGCAAAATTTTAGGAGATCAGTCGAATCTTGTGAGAAATATTGATAAGACAGTTCCGGTTTATCTTTTAAGATTTGGTGGAACTTTAGAAAGATTTTTAATTCGTAGAGTTAGCTTTCAGTACTTTAGAAAGAACTCTATTTCGTAAGAAATGGACTCTTTGACCATAACATATGGTGTTTACTTGGGAATTAACAAAGGAACAAAGAACATGGAAAAGATGCAGGTCAAACACCAGATGCTGATAAGGCAGGCCTGTTTACTGTGGCACATGTTTGGCATTATATTTTATATGTGTGATATAACAGTCTTTCATATTTTTGTTACATGAGAATTATGAGACCATCAGATTTCAACTTTGTAATCCTTTGACCACTTGAGCCCAAGCAATACTGCCATTTTGTTGATTAATTTCAACTGAAATTACATTTGTTAAGACTACTTGTGGACGAACTTGAAAGGTTCTATTTGTGTGAGTAGTTTGGTAAGTTGATAAATGATTGGAAAGGACAAATACTGTTCCGAAGAAGCAGAAATTCCTACAATTACAATACAACAAAGTACAATTGTCAACAGGAATGTAGGTTTAATTGGACCAGCTGGCTCCATAGTCTCTTCAACCAATGATATGGCTAAATGGTTAGCAATGATTTTGAACAAGGGCATTGCCTCGAATGGCAGAAGAATACTACCCAAAGAAGCTATTGAATGTGTATTTACCAGCGAAATACTCTTTGATGATGTAGTAACTAATCTTTTAGGCAATAAACCACAACTAGGCCAAAGGACGAGTTATGGATTAGGCAATTGGAAAGGACATCAATCTGGTATTGAATACATTCAACATGGAGGGGATTTATTTGGTTTTCATTCAACACATGCTCTGATAAGATCTTTAAAATCTGGATTTTTCTTCTCAAAAAATCATGGAAAACAATTGCTAGAACAATCAATTCTAGAAAATTCTATCAATAATATTTTATTGACAACAATCTCCTTACAAGAAGCTTGTGATTTTCCATTCTTGGAGAATGCAAATTCCAACACATCATTTACAAAAAATAAACAAAACATTCCAATTTATTCTGAGTTAGTCGCAAGGTAAAGATTAAATAATGCCAATGTTACAAAATATACTGGTAGGTATGAAAATTGGGCCTATGGATCTATCAGCATTAAGACTATTGAAAGTGCACTTATCCAATTGTCTCTCAATTACAGAAATGCTGGACGATTTAATTTATTGTCATTTGACAATGAAATGTATATTGGAATTCCTAGACCAAGATCTGGGCCACCAATGCCTGAGATGTTATTTCATTTTGAAGAGGAAGAAAATGGAAAAATGAATAACTTAATCGCAAAAACATTTGAAATAACAGATCCACCAATATTCCAAAGATCTTTAGGTCCAGAACCACCAGTTGATAATGAAAAGTGTATTGATTAATGAATTTTATGTTTGTGAAATAAAAGACTGGTTCGTGTCTAGATCTTTTAAATTATGTATATTTTCTAATGTAAAAGTGAAAGAGAGTAGTAGCTAAAATACTTGCAAATCAATCACAAATCTAAATCTAATATATTTCTTATTGAAATGTTAAGGTTGTTAAAGATAAGAAGACAATAGTGTTTACTCTATTTCGAAATTTATTTATTCAAAACGTGACTTTTATAAACTCTATCAGCAATTTGCCCTTATTTACCAGTGCATTTTTATAGTCCTTGACAAAATATACATACCATAGGATATCTTCCATTTTAACTAGTGGCGCCATCTCCCAACAAATTATTAATGTCTTTAAGTTGATCTTCATTCAGATTGCAATTATCAAAATTTATAGTTTTTAAGGAGTTAGAAGATTTAAAGAGTCTGTTATAAATGTTTAAAAATCCATTATCTCCCATATCCGGATTAAATTCCATATAAATTCTCTCAATTTTTGAACAACCGTTCAATAATTGTCCAATAAGTACACTTTGATTCTCATTCAAATTACAAAATCCAAAAGCAATCTCTTTTAAAGTATTTGATGATTGAACTAATCCTTTGCAAATCGTTGATAATCCATTTCCCATTTCTTGATTCCAACCCAGATTTATTGATTCTAGTTTGGAACAATTTTTCAATAAATTTCAAATACTTTTACATTGATCACCATTCAAATTGCATGAACAAAAATTGATAGATTTTAATGATATTGATGATTGATGAAGATAATTGCTAAGATTTAATAAACTGTAGGCCATTTTGTCATTTTGCTTTAGATTAATTGTTTCTATATTCGAGGAGTTCTTTATTAAATTCCCTAAATGTTTGCATTGAAGACTGTTCAAGTTACAATCCACCTATTGACTTCTTGTAGGGTTTTTGAAGATTTTAAAAGTTGTTTCCAAGCATCAATGAGTATGCTTCCTAAATTTTTGTTTTCAGATAAATTGATACTTTGAACGTTGACACAACTCTTTAAATATTGCTTAAAAATTTCCTTCTCGTATTCAGAGTTGCATTTCTTAGTAAAATCTATAAATAATGGATCGTCTCTTGGGAGATTGGGTCTATAATTTAAATTTTCAATTACATAATCAATTTTGAAATCATCTAATATTATAATTTTTGGCATTTTGTCAAGAAATTCTTTTAAAGTATCAATTAGATTATCTTCCATAATATTCTCATTAAATTGATCCAAAAGATTTTCTCTGTAGGATCTAACATCATTAAAATCTCGAGAAATATTCTTAAAAATGTTGTTCAACTTTTCAGTGTAAAAACTATGAAGATTTTGTATTTGTTTTGAAATTTCTTCATTATTTCCTCTTTCTTCCTTAACACAAGATTTAATTAAATCATTTATATTTTCTTGTTTTGTCATTGACCTAATTTCGCAATAACAATGATCTTCTGTTAAACACTGTGTACATAGATTTTCAACATTATGAGTTTTACAATAAAGACTTGTTTCTTTTTGATGTTTTTCACATAATTCATCATTCAGATATATTTTTTGAAATGATTGATAAAGAATATTTTTCTTTAATTATCAATTTCTCTTCTTGACAATTGAAAATTTTCTCTACAAACTGGACAGGTCATTACTGAATCATTTTTCACTAGTTTAATTAGACAATTAAGGCAAAATGTATGTTGACAAGGTAAGAATCTTGGATCCTTTTCAACCCATGGTTCTAAACAAATAGCACAAAGAAGATGCTCTTCTTTAATAAAATATCCACTGGCAGCCATATTGTTTTCAATTTCTTATTTTTTATGCAGTAAAAACGTGACAATAATTTCCAAGTGTAGATGGCTTCACCAATATCACGTGATGATTAAAATGAAGATGCAATTTGTGTAGAATGTTCTTAAAAATGAGGAGAATCTCTAATCAAAGAATGAAAACACCATGTGTTGACCTACTTAATATGATTTTGTCTTAATCCTTATCTTGCTGTTATGCTGTTTATTTGTCTAGCCCTTTACAATCGAATTTTGTACATTCTAAAATGTATTCTAATAATAAACATCTTTAGTTGACCTTGACCTCTAGTCTAAAGACTATTGGTAGCTTTATCTTGTAAGATTTCATCACATTTGCTCAGAATAATCCTGATTCTCTATTTATCAACACTTCAACATATAGAACATAGACCATCTGGAAAAGAAAGAGCTTAGTTTATATTAAAATCAATTTCGAGCTCCCCTGATAAAGAAACCCAATGGACTTTATGATGACAAAGTGAGCAAACACATTGCTTCAGCTTATTAATCTTTTTTTTTTACATCCAAAACAATATGGTAGCATTGTGGCAAAAATCTCCTTTCAGCTTCTTTAACCTCGTGGTAAGAATTTAAAAAGTCCAAACTATTCAGTCTTTTAGGAAATTTATATGCTCACTTGCATACATGCATTGCAGCATATATAGATATAATGAAATAATATAGTAGTTAGTAACTATATATTAACTATATATACTAACAACTATATTATTTCATATAATGAAATAATATAGTAGTTAGTAATTATTGGGTGAAAATATGTTAAATTTTCCACCAGTTTCAGTAAGACAGAAAAATTCTACTTCCTTCTCTTACTCATTAGAGGTAATGTGAAAATTTATTATTTATTATTTTCAAAGCTATATTATTTTATTAATTTTTTAACACTACAAAGGAATTTTATAATTAAAGGTTTATATAACATCCTAACCAAAAAATTGGTAATTTTAAGTTCATTTTTATCTTTTATTTTTATTTTTACATTGTAATGCTTGTGGTAATCTTATTATCAACTTTTAAATATATATCATCCAATCATTCTGACTTTTCTTATCAATTTCACTCTAACAAATTATTATTTAGTAAGGTTTGAAAAAGAGTATTCACAATCTTTCAATAATGGAAAACTCATGCTATATCTGCAATGATCCCTTCATAGGCAGCCAAATTAAAGGCAAATGTTGTCTTTGTTTCAAAACATGCCATATCAAGTGCATTCAGGGTTTGTATTATTTATGCCTTTATAATAACAATAATTCAAATAATCCAGATCCAGTGTCAATTTCACCATTATGTTTGAGTTGTTTTCAAATTTCAAAAAGAAATTGTGTTGTAATCTTAAAGAGAATAGATGAAGAAAAAGAACAAAGCATAAATGAATCCAGAGAGGAATTGAGATTATCATTTTCTTTTGATAGTATAGAAAGCATTGCTGATTGTTTAATAGGAGTTCAAAGTTTTGTGAATGAGGAGGATATTATGTTCAGTAATGAAATTGAAATAATACACTGACTACAGTCACTGGTGGAGAAATCTCCAAACACATAGATTTTGCCAGTAAGAGCAGTACATTAAAAGCAAAAGAAAAGCTACTACAACATGGATTTGCTCAGTTCGGAATAAATCTAACAAATGTTCTGCTACCATCATCCAAAGAGAAAAAAATTTTCATTGTGGAAGAAAAAACCATAACCACTCACCATTGAAAAATGCTGAACAGCAGATTGTCATTAGAAATGATATCAAAGAGAAATCTGCTAATGATATTAAATCATCAGGAAAAAGAATTGCTAAGGAAATTCTTTTGAAACATTCTCATGGAAAATGTAGTTTGCTCAATTGCAAAGAAGTAGCCAACTACAACAGGAGAAAAAATAGACCAGCTGAACCTGATGGTTTAAATTTTCAACTTGATTTAACTTGTGTGCCATTTGAATTTATGAAGAAAGATATTTATTCTGGCAATGAAAGAATATTAGTTTGTGCAAGTGATCATCAGTTAAAACTCTTGTCTACTGCAAAGATATGGTACATGGATGGTACTTTCAAAATTGCAAAAGATCCATTTATTCAAATGTTTTCAATCCATGGCTTTTTAAAGAAAAATGGAATATCTTTCAACTGCTGATCATTGTGTTAAAATGTTTAATTTTTCATCTTATTCTTATATTTTTAATCTATTCAATTCTATGGATTATAATTATCAGATACAATCAAAGGTACAGTGACAACATTGTAATTTCAAATAGAAATGATAAGAGTTCCAAATCTCATTCTGTAGAACAATAAATTTTGCATCCTTCAATCAACAAAGCAACTGTTGAGAGTGATATTGCCATTCTTAAATTATAATCTCCTTTAGAATTTAATGAAAAAATCCAACCAATATGCTTGCCCAAATTGTTTGATGTTGAAAATAGTTTTGATTCTCAATACACAATTTTTAGCTTTGGATTAAGATCATTTTCTTCTGGTATTATCTCTTTGTTTAATGAAATTTTAATTCACACTTCCAACAGTTTTTAAAGTTCATGTTGTGATTTCTATAAAAAGCTTCTATGAAAAGTGAAGAAAAGAAATATACCTTCTACTTTTTGTCAAAACAGGAAACGGAAATTGTAAAACAATGTATAAAATATACTTTTGAAATAAGGAAAACTCATATTAATTAGTCTGAAAATATTTTAAATCTTATAATAATTCTTTTACATATCTGAAATCACTATATTATATTACTTATTATATTTTTTATTAATTTTATATTTCTTTGTTTTTTCTTATTTATTGTATATAATTAGCAATTAACTCAAAATGCAACAAAGTAGGCTGAAATGTCCAAAGTGGGCCAAACTGTCACTGCACCATTTGAAAAAAGCTTCTTCAGAGTGTTTGATGACATTTGAAGTCCTTCACAAGTATTTAATAATCCATTTCTCATTGTTTTATTACATCCTAGCCAAATGTTTGCAGTATGGAACAATGTTTCTGCAAATCTCTAATCTGTTTATGTTGTTCTTGATTTAAATCACACTGATTTAAATAAAGAGTCTTCAGAGTGTTTGATGACATTTGAAGTCCTTCACAAATTTTTAAAAACCCCTTTCCCATATTACTATTCCCTGAAAGATTGATTGTTTCCAGTGTGGAACAATGTTTCAGCAAATTTCCAA